GATAAATAATGAAAAAAAAAAACACCTAGATAAATGAAACATGCAGCAAGGAGTTTCTACATTTCATGCTAGGTAAGATTTAGAAGCTGGTGTCATAGCGAAAGGGAAAAAAAAAAAAAAATTAAAAAACAAACAAATCAAAAAACACTTGATTCAGTCTTTAACACCGTTTTCATAAATCCAGACATATATAAAAAAGCAGAGATATACGTGATCCTGCCCACAGCCTCAATAGTTGCTGAAGGAAAGAGATCTTCTAAATTATGTTGATACTGAAGTTTAACAAACTACAGCCACATAAATCAAACAAATCGTGAATAACAATGTGAGTAGGCCAGTTCCAAGTTACCTTGGGCATCTGTTTCAGAACAAATCCTTGTGCAAATCCTGGTGAAATTCAACAAACTACAGCCACATAGAGGAGATTAAAAAATATATATGTCAGCCAAATCACACAAATCATGAATAACAATGTGAGTAGGCCATTTTCAAGTTACCCTGGGCATCTATTTCAGACCAAATCCCCATGCAAAACCGTCCTTATGAAGATAAGTTCCATTTGCATGAAAATGAACCTCTAGGAGGAACGCATTTTCGTATCTATTTGGAATGAATGGTTTTGTATGAAGACTCATTTTAACATAGAGGTTGTAGATGACTCAAAAATAGCCTAAGTTAGGAAAGTTGTGGTAAGACTTTTTAATAAATTATGTTTCACAGTTGTGTAGTTATCAACTAGTTGCAGCTTTAATTATTTGGGTAAGAATTAAAAAGAAAAAATCTACTGTTTGATTAAATGCTAGCTTAATTAGAGTGAAATAAGAAAGACCACCTGAACATTTCAGTAATTGACACATATTATAACTTTTCCATGTGCCATCGCCACCACAGCCAGTCAATTTTCCCGGCTCTTACTGCAATCCCTGCTCAGTGAGTTAAGGTGGATGTTACTTTATCAAATAGCAGTAAAATCATTTTAGACTGCCAATCAAAGCCTAGCATGTACTAGCTCTGTTACTCTCTCATTCTTTTTTTTTTAATTAATGGTATTTAATTTTATTTCTGTAGTTTATAAAGAAACAATTTGAGGACTTGAACTGGACAGTTATCTTGGATGAATTTGATGATGCCACCCCATTTGGAATGAAGCGATTCACAAACATAATTGCCACTCTCAACCCCAATGCTCGCAGAAGGCTCATCTTTGCAGCACATTATGATTCTAAATATTTTCCTGATGATGGGAGTGGACGCTATTTTCTTGCTGCTACTGATTCAGGAATACCTTGTGCCATGCTCGTTGAGATTGCTAGAGTAGTCACCCCTCTATTCAAAGCACGAGAGCAACAGCAAGCAAATATGGCTGAGGCTGACGATGAGGTAAATCAATGCAAAAATGAATGTATTGTAGTCTTGAATTGCATTTTCATTAAAGGCAACTACCAGGGTGACAAATTCCAACTTGATGACTCAGTTCAGCTTCCAAGATTGTAGTGTGAACCAGCAATATCTGTTCTAAAGTTGCATGCCTTCTAAAGCCTGTTGTGACAATTTTTGGAGTGAACCCTATTAATTAGTAAATGTTGAGTTCTGTGTGTATTTTCCTTTTATCAAAAGAGCTATTCTGCCCCATACATATGCAGGACTCCAAAAAAATGCTGTCCAGTTGTCCGGAACAAATACATTATCCTGCTGGGCAAGTAACCCTTCATTCTTACTTGCTGGAAAGGCATGGTCTCAGACAAGTCGTCTGCCAACTAAATAAGTCTTGAAAAGGGCAAGCAGAATTTGAGACCTCCTTGTCCAAAGGGAAGGTGGAATTTAAGTTTTTTTAAAGCCCTAATATGGCATCTATTCTACTAGTTACTTAAGGCTGGTGTGGTTTCAGTTTTTTATTCACCTTAAAGGAGCTCAGTCATTGAGTTATTTTGGCCACATACAAAATTACTTTTAAAGTGCATATGACATGAAAAACTATTTTTTGCTTATTTGAAGGGCCTTTCAAAATACAGAAGAATGGTGTTTTTCTTTTTGAAATATCTTTTTTTTCATTTTAAAGATATTAACGTTTTTCTATTATGCAAATTAGATCAGTGATGATGTCATATTGTTTGCAACTAAAAATGCTAAAATACTGAACAAACAATATCTCTTGGAATATTGAAGCAGTGTTCTTGAAACTTGGCACCACAAATGTAAATCACAAAAGAAACAAAATGACACCCTTAGTGGTGTTGCCATAGCAGCTCTTTTGGCTCCAGTCTCTTTCTGTCAAAAAAAACCAAATATCCCCATTTGCAACCTCTAAACACAGGCGGCCCAAGCTCACAATGCGAGGAGTTTTTTTTTTTTAATCTTTATGCGAACGTTCAGCGCACGAAACGTGACACAGTTACCGCCGACATCTACTATTACATAATGACCGAGTTTGGTTACGCGAAACGTGACCTTCACCTTGCAGTATGTGGTGGTGTTGTGTTACAACGGTTTGAATTTATAAAGGTTTGTATGGGGGAAAACGGTAATCGACATTATAGCTGAAATTTTGGTATTTTTGCAATAAAAATGACTCACCTCAATG